GAATGTTGGCGCGATAAAAAGTTTATCGGGGAAATTACAAAAAAATTCATAAACCTATTGCATTTGTGCCAATTCAGTTATAAACCTTTCAATTTGGACAAATTTAGTTCTAAACCTTTTGACAATTTGCCAATTTAGTTCCTCCGATCAATTTTGACTGGAAATCGCTAATATGACGATCTAGTCAGCGTTGGCTTCCTACGTGGCAAGGGGACGTTGACATGGATAGGGTTTACAATTTTTAATTTGTTAACATTTTTTTGAAATTCTTATTTTTTTCTTTTCTTTTTGTTTTTCAACCCTAGGTCACCGATCCTCCCCGGCCACAGGCAAGGGCCGGCGACCCTCACCTGGTCTGGGCGAGGGCGTCGGGCCCTCTCTAGGATCTAAGCTAGGGTCAATCGGCAACCTTGCCGACCTAGGGTTGTAAAAAAACGAAACGAAAAAAAAAACAAAATAACAAAATTCAGAAAAATTTTAAAAAATTGCAAAAATTATTCACGTCAGCGCTAGTTCTATAGTCATGTCACGTAGGATAGCCGGCGCTGACTAAATTACCATGTTAACGATTTCCAGCCAAAATTGACCTAAAGGATTAAATTGGCAAATCGTAAAAAAGTTTATATTGATACAATTCAAAGGTTTAGATTTAGATTGGTAAATTGTCAAAAGGTTTTGGGACTAAATCGGTACGTGTGCAATAAATTTACGACTTTTTTGATAATTGACTTTAGTGACGGAAAAAAATTTCACCAGAAGGAAATATACGGTCGCTAGTTTGTACGATTAAAGTGGTCGCGAAAACTTCTGGCGTCCATAGTTCGTCGCCAAAACTGACGCTGTCGCCATCCTTGACTAGCTGAAGCATCATCTCAATCAAGCAATCCATACGTTACGCTAAGGAAACATTTTCGAGGCTGACAAACGACTAAATATTCATTGGCAAATATTTTCTTTAGTCAAAACAAGCCATCGTAAAAATAATTTCAAGCTGTGAATATAATAATTGAAAATTGCCCATTGAAGATAAGCTCCAAAAATGAAATAAAAATTATAAACCAACAAAAAAATTTCAGACATCATCATTATCCAAGAAGGTCTTGCATCTCTCGTGTACTTCTTCTTTCGGTTCGATGATGAAGATGGGGTTTAATAGATGGATCCCACTTTACTCGCCTTTCCGAACCAACATCTTTTTTTTTTCTTTTTTTTTTTTTGGGTCTCGCTCATCTCTTTTATGTACATACATGTATGTGTGGTATATAAGGAGATCGAACTCCAGATCTGGTACTCTCCGACCTCACCCCCAATCCCTTTATTAGCACGATGTATGCCTATTGACTTTCTTTTTTTTAGCCAACTTAGTTGCCTATTTTCATTTAGGACATTTTGGTCATTCTAATTTAATAGAGAATGTGTTTTAGCCTTATTAGGTGTGGAAACAAAGTCACCAAATTCTTTATTAACAGTGGTTGTGCCCAGTTACCTCATTTTATTTTATTTTTATGGTAGAAAAAAATCAAGGCCACTTATATTGTATATGGAGCGAATTTTCAAAGTCGGTATCCACTCTTTGAATGACTAAAACAGCCCTATTCCCAATATGAAATTTCATGATTTGCCAACCGGCGTATAGGTCTGCCAGTCGATTGACAGGCTTGTGCGAAGCATAAGCAGACATGTAGGAAGCTAAGACTTCTCCTCTTGTCATCTCAAACGCGGGAGGCTACTATACCTGTCTATCCGAAGATAGTCAACCGAAGTTGATGTGGTGTCTACCTTCACCACCCAAAAGGCCCCATGTTTCCTCCAAATCTTTTTCTTCCCTGGAGAGAGGGAATACGGAGAGAACATAGGGACGAGCCTTCACCATACCGGGGAGTCCCTTTCACATGTTTTCTCCTTGAGCCTTTTAAGGTTTTGCTCAGGACCATGGCCACTTATATTGTATATGGAGCGAATTTTCAAAGTTGGTATCCACTCTTTGAATGACTAAAACAGCCCTATTCCCCGTATGAAATTTCATGATTTGCCCTTAGTGAATGTTCAAGGAAATTGGGAAAAAGTATTTGCCGTGGGAGAAAAAAATTTCATCCTATTTGTCTCAACCCTCCGGTTAATCACTTCTCATTTTTACGGCCATTTTCTTAACCATGTTCAACTCCATTTCATGGCATTTCGGCTGAAAAAAAAAAGCAACAAAAAAAAACTATCAAAATTAGATAAAAGCATCCATTTTCTTTTATCCTCGTCATATATATATTATCTATTTTAGTTGATGAGGATATTTTAATCTTCTTATACATAAATCCCTCCTATTTCCGGAATGGACATTGAGATGCTAGAATTATAAGCGTGAATACGAAGAAAAATTATTATTTACAGCGCGATTTTGAACTTGTCGTTTTTTCTCTTGCACGCGTGTGACACGTGCATATTTTTGAGTTGTATATATGTCAAACCTCATCAATCTCAGGAAATCTTGCTCATTTAACTTTATGGTAATTTGTTAAATCGGTAGGATCACAACCCACTATTATGAAAGCTTTCGGCCTAGGATTGGGCCGTGCAAATATAAGGAGGCAAATAAAGGTCTTGAAAAATTAAATTCAAGACTTCCAACTTTGATAGCAGGTAAAATTTGTGAGATCACAACTAACTGCTTTAAAAGTTTAAGCGCGATTTCGTAACTGTAACGTAATTGATTCAAATAAGTTCTTTTTACATCTAGTTGCGATTTTTGCAAGCCAACAATGTTTTTGATGAATTTCACTTAGATGATCATAATGATATTTCCAGAAAGTGATTAATATCTGCTGAACAATGTGAAATAGTGCCTACAGAGAGTAGAGATAATGTGTTCAAATCTTGAAAAGCCTCCACACCAAATTTTATTTCAGAGATTCTCAAATTACAATCATACATACATCCTCAGATCACAGGCCTGTGGTTCTTGACAACATACTTCCTTTGGGTGAAGGGTGGTGATGAATTGAATCTGTTGTTGCATAACAAACGTGATGGGATTTCAGTTTAAATCTCAGAGGACATGTCTGGTTCAACCCATGGCATACTTATGGGTCCAACTGCGGGCCGTCGAGTCATACTTGACTTTATCGGCCTTGCACATGTGGGCGATCTCCGGAACGAGCGGATCGTCAGGGTTCGGATCCGTGAGCAACGAGCATATGGATAACAGTACCTGTGAGAATCACTTGTATATTGGTACGGATTGACTAGGAGTCAGTAAGTCGTGAACAAATTCTTCAACTGTGTATTGGATATACCTTGGAGATTGTAAGGGCAGGACTCCACTGTTCCTTGAGGATGTCCAAGCATATATTCCCATTGCTATTGATATTTGGATGGAACACCTTGGTCTTGAAAGCAACCTGCAAAGTTTGCCCCCAATTTAATTCAAGAAATTCTTGGGTTTGAATTTAAAATTACCCAAGAAAAGAAAGATTTGGCCTGATCTTTGCACCTTTGGAGGCTTGAAAGGATAATCAGGTGGGAAATGGATGGTCACAAGGAAGACTCCACCAGCATAAGGACTGTCGTTTGGGCCAATTATGGTTGCTTGCCAATGAAACATGTCCTCACCCACTGGACCTGAAAGACACGGCTAAAGTGATTATATAATTCCTTTTTTGGTGGGGAGAAATATAATATTGTTTTGAGCATAGGCCCAATTTTGATCAAGTCCCTTGATGTTCCTGTACCTGCACTGCAAGAAGATGGGGGGTCTCTTTGCAAGTCCTTGAGCTCCTTCAGAATTCTCTTGGATGCCATTGAAGCCAATACGTTACAAGGTGAAGAAGAAGTTAACTGAAGGGGAACAGGTTGTGATGAGTCAAATGGGAAGGTGGTGGTGTTTATAATGGAGGAATTTGAGGTGGTGGCGACTGGCGAGGAAGAAGAGGGGAAGCAAATGTGAGAGATTGGCTAAACGATTCCTTTTGAAAGGAAGATGAGTGGGGAAAGAATCAATTCTTGCAGAAAAGAAAATGGGGGCAGGAATCATGCATTTAAAATCTGATGAACATGACAAACATGGCCAAAGTTCATCAGCAATATAAATCAGGACTAATTTTATTGCCAATTGACTGCAATCTTGTAATGATGCCACACCGACATACACGCGAGCGTGTCCATACGCATGTACAGGAACAGGGAGAGAGAGTGCCTAGCTATTACGACGAATTGATTATCGGATGCAATCGTCACCCGATAAATTAGAGGGTTCAATCAGGAGGGTTATCCCTGTATGATCCGGCGAGATAATGCTTCAATCGTGCATCCCTATCACACATGGTCAGGGGAATGTGAACCTTGTTTTTTTTTTGGGAGGAAAAGAAGGAACCAAGGAAACAGATAGGATAGCTCCAGGCAAAACAAGAAAAGAACAAATAAAAGAGGAGGAAATGCCCCAGCTAGTAAAATATCCATTGATTCCATTCAGAAATGCAAGAGTTGCTTCGTTAGATACCTTCTAATGCACCACCCACCAATTGTCACAAATTGATTGTGCAAGCCATCTCTATCAGGGCGGCTCAAGACTCAATCCCTTGACCCTCAACAAAAGGCAATTCGTGATAAGCCCTTGAGAATCTTGGGACTACTCTGATCTGTTAAAGAAGATTAAAAGGCAAATATTGATTCTGACATCTTAAAAATAGACCTCACATTGTGCACCTTTATATCTGTCCCCTTCAAAATACATTCTCTTTGCACTAAATGGCCTTCCAATTCTGTGTCCCTCTTCTTTTAGAGCAATTCAAACACCTTATTTAAATGCCCCAAGTTTCATAATTTCAGTCACTAAAGTATGTCTCGTCTGGCCAATTGTGTTCTAAGATTTTTCGGAATTGGCGAACCAACAGCATGAGACAGGAAAGGTCTGAGCCATGCGCCTTAGAGATGATAGGGTAGGAGCTAATGTTAGAGAGAGAGAGAGAGAGAGAGAGAGAGAGAGAGAGAGAGAGAGAGAGAGATCAAACTGGAAAATAGAATCAGAGGACCATTTCTAGAAGACTACAACTGCATCAACATGCACACCAGTAGTAGTTACCAAGAAAAACACATGCACAATACATCCTAGTAGTAAACAATGCGACTTTTTCAACCAAAAGGAAAAATAATACAACTCTCTAGAGCTTTTATGAAATTTTTTGCTAGTTACCCGCATATAAAGTAAGCCCTTCATAATGATATCAGACCACAGACGAGGTGCAGCAAGCAGAACTGCAATGCTCTGTCGACATCTCCCTAGGTTGTCAGTTAGGACTATTAACATCACTCGTTTACTCCTTTTGCAGTAATTAATTACTACTCCATACCACAAAGAATTTCTTTCTTCTTGCTCTCCTTGCCATGCTCATAAGATAGAGCATGCCTTTTGAGCCTTTCTCTTCTTCCTTCGCTTCTGTTTAGGGGGCTGCAGGACCACCTTAATGGCAGCATCGAACACAGCTTTCACGTTCTGCGATCCCAAATTAACAAACTTCAAGTAAGGACATGACAGATTATTCAATCCAACATGTAAATAATTTCAACTGTAAGTGGAATCAGATAATACGAACCTGCTGTGTTTTTGAACTGCATTCTATGTAAGCAGCAGCCCCTATCAGTTTCTTTAGTTCCTCCCCCTTGCAAAATAGAAAAGAATAATGTTTCAGTGAAGCTCATTCAAAAATAAGTCCAAAAGATGTCAATAAAAACCAATAAATAATGAAAGTTGAAACTATCTAAAGGAAGAATAGAGGGTACCTGGGCTGTGGTAATGGGGACGGCGCCGGGGTGGTCTAAGAAGAACTGCTTATCATCTCGTACATCTGTAGGAAATAATATATGTCATGAAAATGAACAAAAGAGGTTGCTTGGGATACTATAGACGAGACTGCAGTTTTTTACAGGGGATATTAGTGCTGATTAGTGAACATTAGGTACTGTCTCATCAAAGGCTAACGAGATCACACAAAAAGTACTGTTGCTTATTAGTTATCCACACAAGTATTGTGCATGAGGATAACGAACCACTTTACAAGTTACCTTTTTTAACAACAAATAGAGACCAGCAATCAAGTTATTAAGACAAGATATCTGACATGAACCCGTGTGCTCACCAAGATCACACTCAAAGCAGACACTGAGTTCAATTAATACCCTGGGATTCGCATGAACCCGTGTGCTAACCAAGAGTACTGAGAGAGTTACTCAGACGGGATATGGTCCCTAAGTTTATTAAACAAGGTGGCTCTAACCTGGGAGCATTCTTGGTATATACATGGAGGAAAAAAGAAAGAAAGGGGTTCAAACGAAAATCAAAGTATAAAAAGCCACACTCTAAATCAAAAAAAAAAAAAAAAACTTTGAAGCAAATTATCTTTAATGAAATACCAAACTTAATGGTGGCCAAAAATATGAAGAACTAGCAAGCTAGAGGATTGATTCAAAGGACCATAAAAGCTTTCAGATACAGAATATCCACAATGTAATGAAACAGAACAATTGTACTTAATTTCAACATAGCTTCGGAAAGTAATTTTTTGCAGCAACATAAAAAGACCTGCTGTAACTGATACCATACCCTTTTTAATTTCTTATTTTGAAGATAAAAGGTTTTTTGCTGGTAAGAAACCAAACATTTGGTTCAGTGCTCTCAATATCTTCAAGTTCCAGGACTGCAATATTTTCTTGTGACAACTATTCTGATTTTCTGCTCCAAACATCCCCTCCTTACAATTGATTGTATTCATCTGATATAAGTTGTTTGCTTTAGTTGTCCCAATTAATCAGTATCATCATGTCATACTTAAACACACTCATTAGTACTGTGCTATATGTAAGGCATAGGATCACAAGGGAAACTTAACAGGAAAAACTTTTGCGCTACTTCAAGTATATAAGACAAATTCACAAATTTTCGATTATGAGCAAGGTCGAATTTCCAAGTCAAAATTGATTTTAATCTGTTAACCCTCATTGCTCTGTATGTGTGTGTGTGTGTGTGTGTGTGTGTGTGTTTGAGAGAGAGAGAGAGAGAGAGAGATGTTTTGAAAATGGTTTACGAACCAAGCAAGTGTTGATCTGCGGTTCAACTGATCCTACCAGTCAAGCTTTTCAGTCCAATTAAAGTGACTAATTAGATTAAATACGCTATGTACATAAAAGAATGCAATCTTGAAAAACAAGTTCAGAAATATCTCATAACTTTTTGAAAGTTTAAAAGAAAAGAAAAAAGAAATAAGCACATCATTGCTGCCCAGATCAGATGGCTAGCGAGCACCCCTTTGATCCTTGAGGTCACTTATTTGAGACTCATCACCAGCAACTAAATCCTTTTTGTATAGAAATGAAGCCAACAGATGGTAGTAAATATATTTAAATGGTTCACAGGGCCAAAACCGATTCTAAGAAAACCGGACCAGGTCCAATTTGCCCCGATTTAACCAGTTGGACTGGCTGAGTGGTCCACCAAAGACATGCAGGCTATACTCATTTTAAGATCAATATCACGTCGCAAATCGGGTGAGAACAGATAATGCCATATGTTGATTAAATACGTGAACTAATGAACAAGCAAAACTACAATCTCGAAAAAATGTACCATATGACATTGAGATAGATGCCAACAATTGAATTAAATCATATTGTACTACCAACAAGGGTATGGTATCTGCTACTAAGTAATAGGAGAACGAAGGGAAAGCCATAGACTCTAACCAAGCTTCGTCCCCACAAGAATAACCGGAACACCAGGTGCATAATGTCGCAACTCAGGAATCCACTGAACATTTAAGGGAAAATACGTAAGATCAACAAATGTGGTCTGATCATGCAGGCAAAGAGAGAATGCAGAAATCGAGAAAAGAACTTAAGCTGGGTAAGACTTACCTTTTTGGCAACATTCTCATAGCTAGCCTTGCTTATGAGAGAGAACGCAAGCAGGAAGACATCTGCTCCACGATAACTTAAAGGTCTCAACCTATTGTAATCTTCCTGTCCTGTGGCATTGGAAATTAGCATCCCGATCAAAACATGAAGAAACGGATTTCAGCCAAAGCATAGTGAAGGAAATTTCATCATCAGAGATTGAGGACCAACCAGCAGTGTCCCACAACCCCAGATTAATAGTGCTTCCATCAACAACTACGTTTGCACTAAAATTGTCAAATACAGTTGGCACATAATCCTGCTCCAGAGCAAAATAACATGAGAATCGAAAGATAGCTCTTCAATTCAACAAGGTGCAGATCAAATAATCATTATAGATATGATCAAATGATAAATTTATAACTGAACTTAGTTCGGAGTATATCATCCAGCATTCAGTTCATCAAGTGTAACGCATGCCCTACCTAGTAAAAACACCCTAGATACACACAACAAAGCGTGAGGCATACAGTCCATAGTAAGTGCTATAAAGTAACTCATTAAATTGTCCCCGGCAGAAACATAGTTTACCTTCAAAATATAAAGGCATCTTTAAATATGATAACTTGGTTCATTAAGTCACTAGTAAGTTGTGCGGGACGAACAGATTGAAATTTCTCCCACAGTAAACAATCCTTTAGCAAATAATCTGACTGATCCACACTACAATGTCAGATACCTTCAAACCACCAGTATTCGTCAAATAACACCTCCCAATACAGAGAAGAAAGGACACCAATATTGCTTTGCAAAGTGGACAATTAGTGAGAGTATTTCAAATCTCACCCAAAAACAAACTAATCAAGAGCCAAATACTGAGAAATTTTGTAGAAATTCTCATGTCTTCATCAAAAGACTTCTCAAATCAAATCCGATTTCATAGTCCATACTACAAATGGTAAGACTAAAGAGTCATTACCATTTGAGAGAATGAATAGCAATATCTCCATATGTGGCTTTGTGTGAAAAACGAACCCATTAGCTATGGCCATGGCAACCATGTTACTTGCATAATTTAGTCCAAAAAGAAAACTAAAAACAGAGACATGACAAGCATAATTTCGAAAACAAAATTCCTATGTAACAAAAGAAGCAAACTCCGCCAATGCACACAGGTTAGCATAAACCTAGAAACACATTATCAAAATCCAATGCCGCTTTCTTTTCTCTCATTTTGTCACCAACAACTAGTAGAGATTGGGGCCAAGAAGCAAACACTCACCACCAAAATCCACATCCTAAAGTGACCCAACAAATTATCAATTTCAAATCGCTCTTGCAAACCCAAAATTCGAACAACTTCACCCCCCCTTCCTCAGCACCCGAATAAGAAAAATTTCAAAGAAGCGCAGCCACCCATTTACACTGATTGAACCCACAACAAAATTAAGTCCAATTGCTTCAATCAATCGATAATGCCATGAAAGGGTACCAAAAGAAGTGGAAACAGCTCAAGTCTTGAGTGAGTTTGTTTTTGCTTACAGTGGGGAAGGTGTTGCTGGTGTAGGAGATGAGCATGCACGTCTTGCCAACAGCTCCGTCGCCGACCGTGACGCATTTTATGAACCTCGACGGGCTCATTCTCAACCCGAGTCAACCCACTTTCAGACAGGACAGGCTTCTTTTACTCCCGATTTTTCAGAGATTTTCTTCGGACACAGAGAGAGAAAGACTGGGGAGTGGGGAGGGACTGCCGTTGCCAGCTATGGATGTTTATGGATAGCTCATTGATCTTTTTCTTCTTTTGGGGATAAAGCTATCAAAATTTCCAAATTATATTTATTGTAACACATTAATCTTAATTTTTTTTTTCGCAACACAGAAAATTCTAAATTTATACTTATATGACACATTTACCTTCTGTCAAAATTCATTCAATAAGTACTTTAAAAAATCTGCCTACATGGACGTTGACATAAAAACGACGTTATTTTGACTGAAAGTCATCTGATAGAATCTTTAATAAGAGTAAATGTATATAAATGTACAAGTTTGAGGCTTTTATTCTCATAAAAAAAGTTTACAATAAAAATGTAACGAAAGGCATAGTTTGTGTTTTATTTATTTATAAATTTCAAGATAAATATGTCACTGTGAGCATGGTTTAGAGTCTTTGATGGCTTTTCCCTTTCTATCCATTGCTCAATTTTAACTTTCGTCATTCATTTTTCTTTCCAAATTGGGAAAAGAGGTTAATTTCAAATTTATTAAGAATAGAAAAAATTTAATCAAGAGTCATTTTGGTGCCCATGAGTGGATGACTATTTATATAATGTCTATATTGTATTTCGTTTTCGCTATACGCTATGGGATCTCACAACCACCGCCGCACAAACTAACATATATTTCGACCACAAAAAATAAACTAACATATTAATTAGAGGATTATTTTTTTTTCCTATTCTACCTTATTCGAGACACCAAATAATCTCCGGTCAAAATATCAAATTTCTAGCCGCTTGTGAAACTTTATTTTAATTCTTTGTTTTTGTAAATATTTTTCAAAGTAAATACGATACGCAAATTTTCTCAAACTTAACTCCTGAAAAAATAGTTTTTTTTCAATCAATTTAGACCAACGGTAAGAAAAAACGAGACATTTATTGGTACTATTAAATTTAGGGTTAATACTATGAAAAACCCCAAACTGGTACATCTGTAACAAATTTACCCAAAACTAATTTTTTGACCACAAAAAATACTAAACTGGTACACTTGTGACATATTTATTATCCGATAGTTAAAAAATTAGCTTAGTGTAAATTTGTCACATATGTATCATTTTGGAGTTTTTTGTGGTAAAAATATTAGTTTATGATAAATTTATCACAAATATACTAGTTTGAGATTTTTCGTGGTATTAACCCTATAAAAAAAACACTAATTTTAGCTTGAGTTCCAATTTTGGCCCAAAGTTTTTTGTCTCGTAAAAAAACATAACTTATAGTTGATATCCAAATCTAGTCCCATCATGTTTCGGTCTAATCATGTCCTTAAAGATTCAACATGTCATTACACCTCTACTTTGCGAGATACGACTATCGTTGCTAAAGTTGCCGCAAGAATATGAATTGTTTCGAACAAGGCAAGAGAAGTAAATGTGCACATTCAAATAGGAGATCCTTTTTGCCACTAAAGTTTCCTTCTATTAATCCAAAATCAGGGATAACTCGAGTAAGCTTTTCTTTATGAAAAACAAAAGCTTTTTGCCTTTTCAGATTAAAGAATCATATTGGTCTTTGTTTTTGAAATAACTAGTTTTATCTATAGTGATCCAATCCGTATGTTCATATGAAAATGGATTTTGCTTTTAAAAAAGAATATTTACGCAAATGTTGAAATGGACTGAACACATAATGAAATTTAAAGAGAGTAAGAGAAATGCAAAGTAGATTTATACTGGTTCAGTCGGTCCACATTGGTCTACTCCACTTCCCAGCTCTTAACAACCTAAGAACGAGGTCGGAACCTGCAATCGCTTAGCCTCGACAACATTTATAGATGACAATTGCCTCTCCACTAAGCTCTAGAGCTCGCTCTACAGATATAAACACTTCACTTTACGCTCCAGCACTTTTATGATTACTGCGCATGACGCTCTCTCACGGAGAACTACGATCAGAAATCACGCGGTTTCTCTCAAAGAATAAGCTTAGCAAGGGAAGCACACGCAAAGCTTGCGAGCAGTTCTTCAACTCGGCCAATCCTCAACTACTAACTTTGATGCGAATTTATTGCCCTGCACTCGGTCTGTCTTTATGTTCAGAGTGTTTATCTGCAACTAACTAATGGACTTTATCTGAAGTAGATAAAAATGCCTTTAGGGCTTCCCTAAACGCTGCAAATTGGCTCCAGGACACCAATTTGAATTTGATTCTAACTGATAAAGAGCTAGGTCTTTTGTTCCAAGTTCGTGGATAATATTCACTTTGTCTATAACGAGAACTTCCTCTACGACACCATCCTTCTAGACTTGTTGAATTTTTAAGATCCGAAATCTGTTTACCTACTAGTCGTAGGTCCTTCCAAGCATATCGATGTGCTCATGTTCTCTAGGCCGTACTCCTTTTTTCGGTTCATTAAGTATCTTGACGATCACACTACCTCTGAGCTTGTTCTCTAATTGAAAGGTCCCTCCACATTTTAACATTTTCTACTCCATATCATAAATCTGCATTTGCAAAGTGAGAAAAATATTCACTTGCATGGACGTCTTATTATTAACATTGCATATGATACCGTTGACTAGAAATCATTTAGGGAAAATTACCAAAAAAGTCCTAAATTTATTGCGCCAATTCAGTACTAAACTTTTTAATTTGGCCAATTTAGTCATAAACATTATGACGATTCACCAATATAGTCTTTTCGGCTAATTTTGGTCGGAAATCGCTGACATAGATGTCAAGTGTCCTACGTTGCATGACGGCGCTTACATTGACCTTTTTTTTTTTTGTAATTTTTCAATAACATTTCTGGATATTTTATATATTTTTTATTTTCTTTTTTTTCTACTATGGCTGGCGAAGGTCACCCAGGCCTCGCCAACCTGCTAGGCGAGAGCTGCCTCCCCGCTGTTGACCAGGCTGCGAAGGCCTTGCCTAGGTCTGGGCGAGGGAGGCTTGCCTTCGGCCAGCGAGGACAGGCCTCGCAAGCAGCTGGCGAGGCCAAGCCTCCTCCAGATCTGCGTGAGTTGGGGCTTCTTCGGCCACGGCAAGCCCTCACTGACCACAGTGAAAAAAAGAGAGAAAAAGCAATAAAAAATAAAAAATATATAAAAAAATTCAGAAAAATGTTCGGGACTAAATTGGCTAAATTGAAAGGTTTATGACTGAATTGGTATAAGTGCAAAGTTTAGGACATTTTTAGTAATCATCCAAAACTATTTGATTTGCATACTCAAACATGCATATTAGTATACACGAACCGTCTTGTCATCTTCAGAATATCATAAGATTTTCCAATATATGTAACCAAAAGGCTTCTTACTCTTTTAATACTTTGACCGGGAAAAAACGGAAGTAACTTCATCGTCCTTGCCCAGAAAATGTGTGTGGCCATAAAACGCCACGCGACAAGTAGGTATCATGTTAGTGATTTTGGAAACTTGAGATCTATTTTGTCTTTGTTCCCTCTTTATATTTCTCTATGTTCCTTTCCTTTCTTTTCCTTCTCACTGTCCATTTCAAAAGGGAAATGCTAGTATCTGAAAGTGACCAATAGAATTAGTTTATTAATTGATGTGTTAAACTGTTACTAATTGTTAAATATGTCCCCCTCCTCTTTCAAAGGCCCATTCTAGTCTTACACAACATCTAATAAACTCCTCCCTCCATCCCTTAACCCCCTCCCCCAAATCGAACCACTGGTCCAGGGTCGAGGGCTTTCGATGCAAGTTCGTCGCCTCATTAGGGCTTTCGACCTCTAATCCAATGGCCGTCGATTGCTTTGACGGTTGCAGCGGTGAGAGCGGTCGCGATTTGTTGCCGTCCCGTGCATGAGCATGGCGGGAGAAGCAGAAGAGAGAGAAAATAGGATTAGAATTTTGATTACGGCGTGTATGACTCTACACAAATATGTAATGACATTTCGATGAAGTCATGGTTTTTTTTTTTTTAAGACAGTGCATAAGGTAAATGAATTTATGAAGTAAATTTACTGGTGCTTTTAATGGATTTTCCTTTTGAAACAAATTAAACGACTAATATTTTATATTTCAAGAAAAAAAAGAGTGGATTAATCCATGTGAAAATGACCCCTGATGGAAGTACTGATCTCAACATAATTTACCCCATTCCCGACAATTTCCCGGGCCACAATGAAGTTGCTTCAAGTGATGGAAACTAGATTAACTTCCTTCCACCAAAAGTAATGAACATTGTTCAGAAACCTGAACTCGATCAACATGCTTGGAAGTAGTTAGATGTCAAAACATAACTAGTTGCCTTTTTCTTTTCTTGGAGTATAGGAATATCAAAATCGTATCGTGTCATGTTCACGCTATCAAATTTGCCCAAAATCATTGTGAGGTAAAAATAACGCTTTCTATTTTTTGGGGGAAAAGTAATAGGGTGGAAGAGCAATCAGTGCAAATGATTTTCTTTGAGCATTACCATAAATGTTCTCCACTCAATAAATTACTCTGCACCACCTGCGATATGAAGGTCCAAGATTATTGAGCCCGACACTGCAACTCGGCAAGATGCTATCACCTCCGCCAACTATTACCAAATAGAATAGTTTATTATCAAAGAGCCCGTCTAATTACTTTGTTCCAAAGGAATTAATTTAAATTAGAAATCACCGAGTACATAAATGTTTCTCACAAGGAAAAATCATATCCAAAGATTGGACAATAGATGATCCAATCAGTCATGACGTCACGAACAAAATTAGTGCGTTACACTCCGACTTTGATTGAAATCATGATTTGATGGCATGAGACCCGTCTTCTGTAAAGTACTAAAAAATTTGACATTGGACAAACACTTCCAAAAAACAAATCCTCTTGATTTCATGATAAGTGCACAATTTAGCTCACTCAACCCAATATGGGGCACTCAGATCCTCTGGATACTTATTCCTCTCTCCGTTTAGGAGCTCCCCTCCCTATCCCAATGGTGATAGTTTTCCCCTCAAAACCTAATCCGGCCTTCCCCAGCTTTAATCCTTCTTTGTTTCCTCTCCCCGTGAGAAATCCCAATCTTCCCTTCCT